AAAGTCTAAAATAACATAATATATATATATATTGAATGAATAAAGAAGGAAATATGTTTCTCATTTTTCAGGGGGCCAGCACCCACATACACGCACTTGCGGACGTCCATGTGTATTCAGTTTTTGGAAGTTCGAATTGAACAATACGGAAAGAACAATAAAACTTCAATGCTCTTAAATATTACCCCCCCCCCCCAGTGGCACAGCGGTATGTCTGCGGACTTAGAACATTAGAATCGGGGTTTCGATACCCGCGGTGGGCAGAGCACAGATAGCCCATTGTGTAGCTTTATGCTTAATTACAAACAAACAAATATTTCCACGAAATGAACATGCAACCGATTTTTATAACAAAAATTAAATCTTTTAGACAGTTGAGATTAATGTTTAAAGAAAATCGGGAAATCTCACAAGATTTTGGTAAATGCAGTGTATGAAAACGCTGCTATTGGCAACATAGTACAATTACGCCGTAAACATTTGTGTACTTATAATGATACCTACACTTTCATAAGCAGTATCAGATAATTTATATTTGTCATAATACACAATATTAAGCTTTTTTTAATAATACGTTCTTTATTCAGTCCATTACGTTTTTTCCCGAGAAGTACTGTGTATAATAGTATTTCAACCACACTATGCCCGCCATATTCGTTGACGACGACGCGTTTCGCACGCTACAAGAACTCTTCAGGTCGACTGAGATACAACAAACAAATAGCTTATGTAAATAGTATTCCAACCACTACTAAGTTTGTTTTATCTCAACCAGCCTTATAAGCTCTGGTATTGAGTGAAACGCGTCGTCGGCAATGAATATGGTGGGCATAGTGTGACTGAAATAAGTCTTCTCGGAAAAACAGTGAGGAAGTGAATGAGAACTGTAGTGTTCAAAAGCAAAAGAAGCTTAATATTGTTGCCTTATGACAAATATAATCTATTGTGATTATGCTTCGCCAGTAAAAGTGTTCACACCTTAACACTTCTTATTCTAGCAAATAGTATCAGACAATAAAACTCAGAGTAACTCATATCGTAAATGAGAGAGTAAAGTGGGTAATTGATTTCTAGGACGGCATCCTACCCTTTTACATTTATTTTACCAAAAAGGCTTAGTTTGGTCATTGATGGTGCATTATACCTTTCAGGAAAGCTTATTTAGATAACATCACACGTAATCAGAGCACAGATTGCGAAATATAATATTTTGGGTAGTTGTAATTAGTGCATATGTACTACGACATAAAAAAAATCTTTCATATTAAAATATATGTATAATCTATATCTATCTATCTATCTATATATATATATATATAAATATATATAAAGCACAAATATCTGTGTGTCTGTCTGCTTGTCCGTTATCTAATTACTCCCAGATTGCTGGGTCAATCTCAACCAAACTTTGTGGGATGATAGTTTGGAACAAAAGTCATATTAATGGAGAGTTCATAATCCCCTCCACCCCTCATTATTGCTGTTATGGATAATTTATTATCTTTGACGTAAGTTAACGTTAACAACATTCATAGATGGCGCCACGTCCTAACACAAAAACAACAAGAATTTATTAAATTTTCTCTAACACAACATACATTCAGTGTGGGAGAGGCCATACAAACGTCTTATATATGTCAGAGAGTGAACTAGCACTCTCTATGGAGGAATACAATGAAAAAAGTCCGTCACTGTTGCAATAATACATAAACTCAGCTGAAGTTTCTACTCCAACAGCCATCATAAGGCTGATATGAAGAGCCGTGTTTTGAGTTATACCAACTTCCTACTTTGACCCGTGCCTTAGAACTTCGGCCCGTAAGACACTTCTGCAGCCAATGATCATCTAATAATTAATCATGTGAAACTTTGTGGAAGTCCAGTAAGAGCTGGGTGTTGAAATTGGGTAATAGAAAGCATCCCTATCGTCACTACATTCTGGTACCTCTTCCTACAAAGTCACCCTGACCATATATATATGTATATATACCATGTTTTAAATGTATACATAGTGAGTTCTTAAAGCTTATACAAAACTTTTGGTGAGGTAATAATGAATAGAGTAATAATATATTATGTTCTAAATAAATTGTTTGATAGTTAGGATTTTTGTGTTATTTATCATAGCATCCACCCAGATATTGTTTTAAGTTCATAACCAGTACAAAGGACGGGTACCTCAGCTTTGGTGTATATATAAATATATGTGTGTGTATGTGTGAGTGAGTGATTACAACAGACAGGATGTGTCCTGAGCTTTAGGGAGAAGTAGGAGACAGGCTTTAAAGCTAAAACGGAGTAGCCATAATGCCGTTGAGCTCTTATTTACATGATTTCTCTAAGATATGTGATAAAACAACGTGGTATATTTTTTTCGTTATTAAATTTGAAACTACAGTCAACAATATTTGATTCGAAAGGATGAGCTCCATAAAAATGTGACACAAGTTGGGTTATTTGAAAAAATACAATTAGCTCTACTTCATTTAAGTGTGTCAGCAACTAGTAAGTGAAGACCTCTTTATTGTACCAAGCTCCACCTTTTTCAAAGAATCAAGGATTACTTCCTTCATATTGCGTTTCTTTGCAAAGAAAACCAAGACTAACAACAAGAAAATATTTCTACCTAACATCTGAACAGAATATATCGCAAATAATTGACTTATATTTATACCTAAAGTAAGAACATATAGACATTAGTAGAAAAAAAAAATAATACATTGCATTATTTACAATAGCTGTTAATTAATATTGATTTCCAATCAGTGCATTTTAAGCTACCTATTTAGAGCGAAGCTAAAACTCAAACAAATTAAATATTATTTTTTTTTGTTATAAAGATTACAATGCATTGTTTCATCAATTGGGTATACTCGCTGTTAACGACATTTTCTGTCGTAAACTTAAAAATATCTTACGAGGTTTGGCCACCTTAGGAGACCTGGGTTAGTCCTAAGTTCATATATTTTGCTAGCAATGCAGAACAATCTTATAATAACAGTATAATAATAGAAAATTATAATTATTAAACTTCCTAATCGATACTGTTAATAATAAAGTAACATTAACTTTAAGCACTGTCGTGTATTTAGTGTGAGAATACCACAGATTAGAGAAAAAATTCAATTATGTACAGAATTTTTTACGATGTTCATGTTCATTTTATATTACTTCACGTTGTGTGGATAATGGAGGAACTTGGTCGGTACATTGAGGTCTCTGTGAATCATGAGCGGAGCTAGGGTATTTTATGCTAGTTGTCTGTCGCTTAGGTCAGAAACACTAACCTGACTCAAGAAATATGTTTTTAAAAAAATCTGCTTAAAATTCTTAGCCCACGTTTTATCGTACATGTAATAATGAAACTGTCACATTCATTCAAATATATATATATATATATATATACACACACACTAAAGTATTGGTTTAGCAGTATATATATATCAACATACTGATTAATATATATATATATATCAACATATTGATTCAGCAACATATATGTAAAAACATATTGATTCAACAATATATATATACACACACACACACACAAGCTCATTTCATTTTGTAATACAGTAGTAATTTCGAATGATTTATTGTTTGGATACTAATATAGTGATTAATTAGGTCATTATTGAACCCTAGAGTTTAGACAAAATAATTATAATTACAGTCGATTGATATAATCAGTTAAAAGAACCAAACCACTTAAATACGGAAAATATCATTTTTATTTGAAATAAAAGAGGAGATAAAATTTCATGATATTTTTGTTTATAATTATCTACTAAATTGTTCTCTCTAGTGGTCGGGATCTCTGATTGTGGGTTACTAGAAGGTCGATTAGCCAATGGTCAAGAAGGATTTTTCCCTTCATCTTGTGTGCGAGAAATTAAAGCAAGAATGGAAAACTTGGCTACTAGGCAGCATCCTGGTGGACGAGACCTGCCTCTCAGAAGAGTTAACTCCATGCCTAGAAAATGGAAAATGTGGGTTTAAAAGTGATATTTTTTGTGTAAGTTAGTAGATGGTTTACAGCAGCAAATTGTGTTCCTTTTTTTTTCTATAATAAGATGTACAGTTATCCATTTAATGTAATATTTGTGTCATAAGTACATTATTAGTACATGGTATATTTCATTAGTCAACTTAACTTTAAGTTAGGTATCTTAGCTCTTAGAATGGTATAACAGATTCCAAAACAGCAGTGTTGAAATTGAGATAACGTTTCAAGTGTGAGAATTCATTAATAGAGTTAGTTTCAATGGAGGAACCTATGTATAACAGCGGTTGTACTGATTCTCCCTGTGCCAAATGTTATCTCCATCAATCATTGGTAAATTTGATTTTGAGTTTTCTTTTAGTGTTTGTTCTGTGCGATGTCATTGTTAAATCATAGTTTTAATTTAATTTGTGACTGATCAATAAGGTAATTAAATTCACCATATAGTTTTTATATAAGAGTACCACTATACTGTACATTTCTTTCGTTATATTTATCGACTTCTCTTGTTAAGCAGTTACAATTCGAGCACTGCCCAACAGGCACACATTTTCGATATTTTCACTCTTATATAAGATATAACCAAAAGTAAATTAATGAAACGTTAATTTGTATTTACTACTTGTTTTTTATTACACATAATTATTACAGGAATGGAACACCCCGTACAGTGGTCCTTCATAAAGGAAAGAAAGGTTTTGGTTTTGTTCTTCGTGGAGCTAAAGGTAAGTATCATCAGATACCAACTCTTTTAAACGTCTTATAAGTGCGAGTGTATAGAACTTTAAAAATACTGACATTTGTTTAAATTTTAGCTCAAAACTGTTTTTTTTTATACAGTGTAAATTGACCAATAGCTAAGTTGTATCAGTTCCCTGCCTAATGGCGTCTCCAAGTAACTTAGATTTGTAGAACATGGCATGTGCCGTTGATATTTTGTATAGTTGTGATATTGTAACTTTAGCAAAGTTTTTTGTATTCATGGGCAGTTGCTTGTAGATAAGCCGATGGGTGTAGCGAGTTTAATTCAACTGCCGTCTTCAAACAGCGAAACTATCGTTTTATTTATTATTAAAAAAGTAAACGAAATCACACACACACACACACGCATGTATATACATAGCAGCAAATATTAAAACATGCCGATGTTATTGTTTTTGATAAAGGAACAAACTTCCCTCCTCTTTAACAACTATTTCAAAAGTACATCGGAGAGTACACTAGCACTCTCTATGTAGGGATGGCACAGACGCCCGTACTGAAACAATACAAAAGTCATCTGGATTTTCATCTCTACAGGTCACTAAAAGCTAGATATTTCCGGTGTTACGCGCTTTTCGGCTAACCAGAGCGTCCCAAAGTCGAAAACCAGCGAATAACCAAAACCGAGATTTCTTATTTTCGTTCATCATCATCTTTCATAAACAGGTCTAGCGCCTACCTAGTTTTAGCAGTAACTATAATTTTATCGTCATTTGATAGAGCAAAACAGTCTTCACGATCTTTGACTGCCTGTTTTTTATTATTCTATGCAAAAGTTAAAAAAGAAAATATTATATGTGTTTTGTAAACGATGTTATTAACCCTTGAGTTAGCTTTCTTACAGAAATATGGTCTTCCTTTAAAAAA